TCAAAATAAATAAATAAAATCTTAAAAAAAAAAAAAAAAAGAATCATGTAAAAAAAAAAAAAAAAAAAGAATCATGTCCCCATCTTCCTTTCTAGTTCCATTTTTGTCCACAATTCTTGGGATCCAGTCACTCTGAACAACCTGCTATTCCCTGAGTTGACATATATCTTCATTCTTCCCTGCCTTTGCAGATACTATTTCCTCTGCCTGAAACACTATTCTCAATTGTCCTCTGCCTAGCAAATTCCTGTTTATCTTGCTCAAAGGTCACCTCTACAAAATCTCCCAGTTCCCCCAAGCAGTGATGTTATCCTCTTTCGTGTCCCTGTAACAGTCTGTCTGTACATCTCTTTAAGACACCATGTATCATGCTGCACTGGGGCTACTGGCTATCAACTGTGCCCCTACCAGCCTTAATGCAGAGGCATTAACAGTTCTGTCAGTAGCTCCTAGGATAGGTGAAATGCTGGCCTCCGCGGGTGCTCATTAATGTTTATAGAATGCATAAAGCAAATAAAGGAAGACAGAGTCATAACTAAGACCTAGGCTTTAGAGTCAAAACAATCTGGGTTTCAAGATCAGGTGCCACCCATTTGCTAGCAGTGTGGGACCTTAGGCATAATCTTTATTTCACTGCTCTGAGTCTTGCCTACTCATTTCTACAAAGTTGATAACCAATTGTACCTACTTCACAGGGTTTTGTAAGAATTAAATGAGATAAAGTATGTAATAACACTGAGCACAGTACCTGGTATTAAAGTAAATGCTCAATAAACAGGAGCTAACAATAATAAAGTATAATTACTAATAATATAATCTTTGAAAGTGAAAAAAGATTATAATAGGCATGACCAAAACTGTATTTCCACTGGGTTTGTATAGAGCTACATACCTGTTTTCCACTTAGTTGATAGAAGGAGAGTTTCTGTCCCCAGTCAGCTACAGCCAGGATATCATTATGTTCCTCTCTAATCAACAGAAGACAAAAGAGGTTATGTGGGGCCATGGCCTACTGATAACTGTAGCCCTAAGGGTTTAACAAACAACAGGAAAAAGAAAGTGCTGGCCAGGCTGTCAGATTGCCAAATGTTATACAGCAGTACAGAGGCCAGAAGTTGTAATGTGGGCCAGCCCATCAATCAGTCCAGTGGGATGAGGCAAGGTGATCCTCCTGGGATCTGTTATTTCACTGAATGCCCTACTATGTGGCTCTGCCACAGTGAAGAGGCTAAACCCCTCATTTCAAGTCTTCCTGAGAGCAGTGCTAAGAAACAGCAAGGTGATAGAGCCAAGACTGCTTTTTACTTATGTACTATAAAATGTGGGGAGATGGTGGAGAAGCAAGTTTATTGCCATGGAAAGGCATGGGCTATCTGATTTTTTAATGGACAAAGGGGAAGCTGGCTTGCTCTTCCTGAAGAAGGAAAATTAACACCTAAAGCTAAGTTCTCTCATAGTTGGGGTTCTCAAACAGGTGAAATGGTTTCTGACTGGATCTAATAAAATATAGTGGGCTCTCTGAAGACCAACAGTTGTCTTTGAGCACACAGCACACAGAAGAAACCTCTTCAGCTGAGGCTGGAGATCAAGCTACTTGGGAATCTAGTTCAAGAGAGAGACATTCCCAGCCCTTGAGACCTGGTCTTACTCTACCTAATGTTGCCTCCTCTTTGTTTATTAATTCAAGCTTTTCAAGCCCAGGGCCTGCGGTCGGTCATCTGGAAGCACCATTAGATATGCAGGCAAGGCATGGTGCAGCCTCATCTGCAAAACCCAGCCATGGGTGGCAAACTGGCAAATATAGGCACTAATTCACAACTAAGGGAAAAAAGACAAAGATGGAGGGGGATGTTAACAGGAAGAGACCTGCAGGGGAACTCTGTATGATTTGCACTGACGTCCAAACACAATACAGGAACCCAGCCCATGGAGAGCCTTCTTACAGAAGCCACATACATGAGCTGGATTGGTGGTTTTCAATCTCCTTTTTCCCTTTGCTCTTTTTTATTCCTGGCAGTGGGACTCTTTACCAAAACGAAAACTCATGTCAAGCAATAAAAGGGGCTGTTCTGGTTGAAGCAGAGATAGGGATCTGAGGCTCACCCTTTCCTCCTTTCCTTGTCCCCCACCTCCACCTCCTTCTAAGGAACCCCAGGTACCATAGAGCAGTTTGGAAAGTCCCAAGCTAGATCATTTTTGCCCAATTAGAACATCCTGGCTCCCTCAGTCTCCCCACTCCAGTCTGCCGATGTTTTCCGTATAGGTAAACTCGATAGAAAAAAAAAAAAGAATGCCTAGACAGCCGGGATTTGGGTGTGAGGATGGTGGGTAAGGCAAGGGCTTCCTCTCTGATAGATGTCCTACCCAATGCAAGGTAAGGTAGAGGGGAATAGGCTAAGAAAGGTGTCCAGTAATAGAGGAAATGTTCAATGAACTATGGTGTATCTACACAGCATATCCTATGCAGGTATTAAAAATCATGTTTTTAAAAGGACCACTAATGTTACCAGAAAGAGTTCACTTTATGATGGTCAAGTGAAAGAAAAGAAGATCAGATATGACTTAGTTAATCATATGAACACACTAAAAGACTGAGGGGAAATACATTAAAATGCTAACAATGGTTCCCTCATGGGATAGGGTTTTACAGAAAAGTTGGTTCTCCTTTAGATTTTTCAGTAGTTCCTAAGTTTCCCAAAGAACAATTTTATAACACAAGTTATAAAGATGTGTTCCCCCTTGTTGGAGGAGCTTTCACCCACAATTCCCCCAACCCAACTTAGAATGGAGCTTCAGAGCAGTGTCTGCCCTGGCAGGTCAACGCTGGGGCCTGGATCCCTCCAAGGAGGGTTCTCGTTCCTTGGGACACACTCACGAGTTGTCGTCCCTGGGACTGTCGTCCTCTTCCTCTGGCTCTTCCTCCTCTGCCTCACTACCCTGACTACTGTACACTGCTGACTTCAGAATGGAAGGGATTTCCTGAAAATATCTGTTGACAACGACTTCCTCGGCATCCTCATTTTCTCTGTTCATCCAGAAATTCTCCCATCGGCTGTAGACAGTAAGTGGCTGTTCACAATCACATTGCCTAGAACTGCACTAAAGCTATAATTTCAAAACCTGTCAAGAAGCCCCTGAACCCTGCCCGGAAGAGGACAGTAACCAGCTATACTGGGCATCCTGCTTCTCATGAATTAAAAATGGTACCCTGAAGCCACAAAGTTATTTGTGGCCACAAACTCAAACAGCAGGAACTCTGGGGTAGGCTAATGGCCTTTGAAGGCATTAGACATGCATGGTGCAGCCCTGGGCTGGACATGCTTATTCAGGAAGAAGCATAAAAATCTGGTGTAAGAAAGGCAATGGAATCAAATAACCTTCTAAATCAAGTAGGTACCACCTGTAAAATGACATTGGGCTGGTAAACAATTAAGTCCTTTACCTTCAGAGGACCCTTTGGGGGATACTGGGAATTTAATATTAGATGATTATACAAAGAGCACCTAAAGCTATTAGTCTACCTTTAAAGTCACATGGGCAGAAGATGGAAAAAGTGTGTAAGGTTTGAGAAGGTAGATGCCAATCATTTGTGGAACTACAGGCTTTGGGGACATTTCTAGACTTAATTATTACTTTTTTGGCAAGGGCAGCAAAAAAAGGCTCATGAAATAGCTGTTTATTATTCGGTGGGCACATGTTCTGCCCAGACTTGGAGGGAAGAAATGAAAAAGGGAAAAGACCAAAATAAAGCCACAGCAAAGAGGTGAGCTATTAATTCATAAAGAAATGGGCTTTCTGTAGCATGCATGCATGCGCACACACACACACACACACACGTTAGGCTGGCCTACATAGTTCATCTGCTTTGCTAAAATCTCTGGGATTCATTCCAAAACTCAAGATGGGCTCTTAAAAAATTCCATCCAAATGGAATGGGTTCCAAAACAGATCAGTCAAATGGAGTGAGAAGGTTTTGAATGGATGGAGACCTTAGGAAGAGAGAAAGAACTCAGCCTGCAGAGAAAGCCCTTTTTCTTTCTTTTTTTTTTTATATTAGTATATTTATTTTTAAAATAAATATAAATACAGATTATAAGGAAATAAAATTGTTATTATTTGCAAATAATACGGTAGATTACCTAAAAGAACCAAAATAACAAACTGACAAACTATTAGAACTATTATAAAAGTAAGTTTAACAAGACAATCACATACAAGATCAACTTTATATGAACTCAAAAAAACTTACCTTCCTACAAACTGGCAATAAACAATTAGAAAAATACAATGGAAAAAATCATTTCATTAGTAATTGATTAAAAAAACCTTTTAAAATGCTAAGAATAAGCTTAGCAAAATATGAGTAAGTCCTAGATGTATATTAAGTAATTTTGCTGAGGGGGCACCTGGGTGGCTCAGTCGGTTAAGCGTCCAACTCTTGATTTCGGTTCAGGTCATGATCTCAGGGTCATGAGATTGAGCGGCATGGGGTGTGGAGCCTGCTTAAGATTCTCTCTTCCTCCCTTTCCCTTTGCCCCCTGCCCCACTTGAGTGCACGTGCTCTCTCTCTCTCTCTCAAAATATAAAAATAAAATAATAATAATAACAATAATTTTGCTGAGGGGTAAGTCCAAATAAATGGGGATAAATGCCATGTTCCTGGAGGGAAATCTCAATAATGTAAATATATTGATAGTCTGAAAATTAACTTATAAAGTCAATGTAGATCTAATCAAAATACCAGGAGAACTTCTTAGGGAGCTTGATAAGTAAATGTAAAATTCACCTGCAAAAAAGACTGTACAAGTTTTATAGAGGCATGAAGGGGTTGGCAATTTCCATACACAAATATCAAGTATAAAGCTGGACAAATCTATCAAAAAGAACCATTTCAGAACACTGGAAACTAAGCAAAGACAGCCTGCAAATTGAGAAGTGTTTGTTCTAGAATAAATGCTAAAGTTATAGGAAAGAACAGTGGGATGCTGTGCCCTTCTGCCTGGGGTTACTCCCAACCACCCAATGCCAGCTTCAATAACCAGACTGGCAGTTCTGCCAACATGAAACTAGCAAAAAGAACCCAACAGCTTTGTTTGCAAAAAGGGTGAATGCATTTCAGGGAGAGGGAGAGGTGAAAACCCATGGTTTTGGTGGATAAAAGTGATAGACTTGGTTGGGAATGAACAGGGAAAATTTAAAGTTGGGGTCTGAAGTTGAAGTCCTGGTTAAGGTGAGTGCCTGACTAGTCAGAACATTAACAGAAAGATCATGTAAATGAGAAAACCATAGAAGGTCTATGATAAGCTTACCATACAACTCTGGCTAAACAGAAAGCTATGTGTTTGTTGGGGAGACCTGAGGAAGCTTGAGAAAGCCCTTTTTCTTAATAGTATTTGTCCTAGAAGGAGGACAGCTATAAGATCACCTTGAAGGGTTCCAACAGATAGACCATATGGGGGAGAGGGAGCCCCCCGGCCGCTCGATTTTCACTTTCTCCTCGCCATTTTTATTCCGTATGCTGATGATCCCATTGAACATCCCGAGAGCCAGGTACTGACCATCATTTGTCCAGCTGTTCATACAACCAACAAAGGGCATGGGAAGAGGGAAAGGAACACAGAGAAGATAAAACTAATGAGGATGATGCCTTGGTTGAAATACAGTCTGATGAGGCAGCAACAGCAGTGCTCATCCTGGTCCTGATGTAAAAATCAGAGGATCAAACTTCAAGCCCCATTTATTTCTAGGATCAACAGTGAGAGGGGCGCCTGGGTGGCTCAGTCGTTAAGCGTCTGCCTTCGGCTCAGGCCATGATCCCAGGGTCCTGGGATCGAGCCCCGCATCGGGCTCCCTGCTCTGCGGGAAGCCTGTTTCTCCCTCTCTCACTCCCCCTGCTTGTGTTCCCTCTCTCGCTGTCTCTGTCAAATAAATAAAGTAAAAAATCTAAAAAAAAAAAAAAATCAACAGTGAAATGTGAAGACAGTAGCACCGTTTTCTGAGCTCCCACAGCTTTCTGTATATACCTCCATGACAGCCCTTAGCTTGTGCCCCCATCACTGGGCCAGCCTCCATTCCCCACTCACCATTTCAACCTCCTCCCACTTCAAGAATGCCTAAAAACAGAATCTGTGTCTTGGTGTATGCCTAGCCTCTTGAACAGATAGGTGCTTAACAGATGTTGAATATAAGAAAGGCTACACTCAGAAGCTGCACAGCCAGAATAGCTACCATTTATAGAGTCTCTACTGTATGTCAGGCACTGTGCTGCTTGCTTTATGCTCCTTAGTTTGTGTGCATTTCACAGCACCCTATCAAGTCAGTATTTTTATCCCCATTTGTCAAATGAGAAACCTCCTAAAGTCACAGAGCCTGTCAGTGACTAAATCTGGATTCAAATCCAGGTCTAGTATCAAAGCCTGTGCTTTCTCTAGCGTACATGCTGCCTGGACAAGGACAGCCTGGAACCTCCAGAAAACCTCCACTGAGTGTAGCTTCTGGATGAGGAGGCCTGTTGGTAGATAATTGCAGGAAGGCAACTTGTCATTCTCTTTTGCTTGATGATCAAAGGCACAGGTCCTTCCCATCAAGGAGACCACAAAAGAAAAGAGAAAATACAGGGGCCCAAACCACCTAGGTCACACAAGACCTTTTCCACTGTGTGAACTAACTGGAGTTTGAGAGTCTGTTTGGGAGAAGGGAATGTAAAACCTACCTTCAGAGCTACCTTTAACTTACCTGCAGCAGGTGATCTTGCTATTGGATTTGTGCTTGGAGACAGACTTCTGTTCAGGAGACCACAAGCCTTCAACATAAAATAATATAAAAGAAGACAGATTGGATGGAATATTACTCAGCAATAAAAAAGGAACAAACTATTGCTACACCTCTAGGGCTTTATGCTGAGTGAAAAAAGCCAAACTCAAAAACTCATGTACTATATGATTCCATTTTATAACATTCTCAAAATGGCAAAATTCTATAAAGATGGAGAATAGCTTAATGGTTATCAGGTGCCAGCAGTTAGGGAATAATAGGAGGAGGATGGCGACAAAGGAGTGTCTTTGTGGCAATGGTAATCTACACAGGTGATGAAAGGGCAAAACTATATAAACACACTGTGCCAGGCCCCCTTTCCTGGTAGACTTCTCTACCATCTTTGCAACTGACAGAGAATCTATAATTATTTCAAAAGAAAAAGAAAAAAAAAAGGAGGATAGATTGGTGAATTTCTAACCAACTTTTCAGAGCTTTAACTCAAAAGAAATGGCAACTTGACAGTTCTTAACTATTACATTGCAACCAGAGCACAACTTAGCATTTGAAGTAATTAATGATGCTTCCTGAAAATCAGTTTCCTCTTCCAGGCCTCACCCACAGCACATTGACCCTGCCCAGGTTATGCCTTGTCCAAGGCACACTGGCCACTTTTGGCTTACTCCCTCCCGCTAGAGGCTCATTGCCCTACAACAGGTGTATGTCTAGGCAACATGAGCAAATTCTACTCTTTGCCTGAGCCATGAAGTTTGATCAAGAAGGTAAATGTAGGGCAATAATGTATTTACAAAGCCAAGTGCAACATCAAGCAAGCTATTTGTTTCCCCCTCCCCCTGGTCCAGAATGCCTCCCCCAAATGTTTCAACCTGTGCATATCTTATCTATGCTCCACTGAGCCTGTCTAGAGCCTCCAGTGGAGGAAACCTCTCCCTCCTGGGTCTCCCTTAGCACTGTTTGCCAGATCATGCTCTAGATGCAATCCCATGGCCTAGGTCCAAGCCCTGGTTCCACCACTTATCGGCTGGGCAACCTCAAGTGAGTCACCGAACCACTCTAAGCTCCATTTCTTTTTCACCAGTGGTGTGAGAATGTGAATGATACCTGACCTCAGGGGTGGTCATAGAGCTCAAATAGGAATTCATTTTAACTCTCAGCACAGTGCCTATCACATCTTAAACATTCAACAAATATTATTATTATTATTACTTGATGTTATATTTTTACAAATTCTACCTCCCCACCTGCCCCAAACCACAAGCTCTTTGAGGACAGGGATTCTATTTTGTCTTCTTTTTTTTTTTTTTTTTTGTAATTATTTTGTCTTTTTAATCACAAAAGTAAGCACACAGACCAGTGCCTCATATGGAGAAAATGCTAAAATTTTTAATGAATGACGGTCACTTTCCCTTTTATTTATACAATGTGCTTTCCGTTATATTCTCTCTTTTGAACCTCAGAACTCTGTCAATGAGATGAACAGGGTAGGAACGTGTTCATCTGAGATAAGGACAGTGAAACACTGAGAAGGGTTACATGGCCTCTCATTCCTCGATAATGCCTGTTCTGTTGTACTCAGCAAGGAAGAAAGAACGGATGAGCTGAAAACCAGAACTGACCTTGAATAGAGATAACCTAAAGGCCTCTGCTCCCTCCCCCCCGCCTCGATGGCCATTTCACTGGCCTCTCCTCTGTGCCAGCACCATGCCAATGCCATAAATGGGGCCACAGTGAGCTCCTCAGGGCATCCAGCACCTCAGGAAGGACAGCTACAGCCAGTGAACAAGTATTGGTGACACGCTACACAAGAAGCACAGTTGAAACAGTGAAGAATTTCACACACACATGGATGTTTGGGAACACAGAGGCGGCCATAATGACCTATTCCTGCCAGATGAGATTGGAAGGCTTCCCAGAGGCGGCAACACCAAGTTATGCCTGTGTTCTCCCACCCTTACCATCTCCCTCCCTGGGGCCCTTCCTGCTGTCTCCCAGATTGCTTACCAGACTTTGTTACCATTCACTCTCTTGGTTTCTACATAATTTAAAGAATAACTGCCAGCCTCCCCTCAGCCATTGAAGGGAGGGGAGTAGCATTAACTCTCTCAGGATGAAACAACCACATTTTTTGCCCAGATTTTCAGTAATTCCAGGACAAGACTTTGGGAATCAGAACTTACCAAAGTCACTGGAGGAACAAGATGCCAGTTGGTGGGTAACAGGGTTGTAGGAGACACACTGGATAGAATCATTGTGTCTAAGAAGTAAACAACTATAGATTATTATGCAGCAAACCACAGATGTTTCAGTGGCTACAACTGAAGGTTTTATGATGAGCCCACAGTCTCTCTGACTACACACCATAAGCTCTTATGCAAGTGACCAACAAAAAGCACAGGGATGAATTCTCCTGCCCTGGATTGCCCCTCACCCACCATTTTCATCTCTCAGACATTACCCACGAGACTGGCCTAGCTTAAATGCTACCTCCTCCAGGATGCTAGGTACCTCTGGCTTGTGAACTGATAAGATAATGAAGTAAAGCACCTAGCCTAGCACCAGGTACACGGGTGATGGCTGTTACTTATTGCTTTGTGGAGGCCTGGAAATACAGGATGGAGATGCAATGAAGATATTACAGGCCAAGGGGTGCCTGGGTGGCTCAGTCGGTTAAGCGTCTGCCTTCGGCTCAGGTCATGATCTCAGGGTCCTGGAATCAAGTCCCACATCGGGCTCCCTGCTCAGCAGGAAGCCTGCTTCTCCCTCTCCCTCTGCTGCTCTCCCTGCTTGTGTGCGCGCTCTCTCTCTCTCAAATAAATAAATGAAATCTTTAAAAAAAAAAGATATTACAGGCCAAGATCTGGAAACGTGGCAAATCCTGAGACAACAATGAAAGATGAGTAAGTCATGCACCACACCTGGCATCTCAGCATCTGTTTTATTTATTCACTTCTGGGTAACACTTCACTTATAACCTCATTCATCATTTATTCATTTATTCAGTCATTCAAAGTTGTTGATCTGTATACGTTCATAACAGCAATCAAAATAACCAAGAATTGGAAGCAACTCAATGTCCATCAATGACGGATAAATGGAAAAACAAAATGTGCTATACACATACACTAGAATATAACTCAGCCATAAAAAGAAAGGAAATTCTGGGGCGCCTGGGTGTCTCAGTTGGTTAAGTGGCCGACTCAGTTCAGGCCGATTTCAGTTCAGGTCATGATCTCGGGGTCCTGGGACTGAGCCTCATGTTGGGCTCCACGCTCAGCAGGGAGTCTGCTTGAGTTCTTTCCCTCTGCGCCTCCCCCAACTCACTCGCTCACTCTCTCTCTCTCTAAAATAAATAAATAAATCTTAAAAAAAAAAAAAAAGGAAGGGAATACAGAACATGCTATAATATGGATGAACCTAGAGGACATTATGCTAAGTGAAATAAATTAGTCACAAAAGGACAAATACTATATGATTCCACTTATATAAGGTACCTAGAGAAGTCAAATTCATAGAGACAGAAAGTAAAATAGTGATTGCCAGGGGCTGAGGGCCCAGGGAATATTTGTTGTTTAATGGGTATGGAGTTTTAGTTTTGCAAGATGAAAAGAGCTATGGACGTTTTGTACAACAACATGAATGTATTTAACACTACTGAACTGTACACTTAAAAGATGGTTATGATGATAAATTTATGTTATGTGTATTTTACCACAATAAAAAAGAAAAAAATCATTTGCTAAGTACTAATTATGGGCCAAGCATTGTACTAGGCACCAGGAACACAGGGGTAAGCAAAAACAGATGCAGTGTTTGCCTTCACGGAGTTTATAGGCTGATGGGAGATATCACTCAATCACCAGAATAATTGTAAAACTACAATTGTGAGAAACGCCAGGAAGAAGACCTGAGTCTAGAGGACCAGAAACAGCTTCACAGAAGAAGTAACATCTGAGCCTGAGATCTGCAGAACAAGTAGGGGTTAACTCGGTGGAGGAACAGGGAAGAACATGAGCAGAGCCCTTACAGAGAGGAAGCCTGGAGCACAATGACCCCAGGTTTCTGTCTGTTGAAACTGGGTGGATGTGAGGCCAATCCCTGAAATGAGGACATTAAAAGGGGACAGGTTTGGGTGGGGTGGAATCTGTGGTGTCAGATTAGCTAAACTGAGCTATATGAAAACTCTTAGCTCAGTGCTGGCCAGGCGAGGCATGCTCAAGAAATGTTCATTCATGTATTCATTACCCAGCTTTCCTATATCTACCATATACTCCTACAACTTAACTTCAAGTTCAATTGCAGAGAAAAAAGTTCTTCCTAATATTATTTCCAAGGGGCTTTTGCTATAGTAACTCAGTAAGAATCAAACCAACAATACTGTACACCTAAATGGTTACTTACGTGTACTTCAGAATGCCTTCCAATTTTGAGGTCCAGATAATAACGCTTTTGTCAGCTGATCCAGAAGCAAAGCGTTTGCCTAAAAGTGTTTTAAAAAGAAAACTGTCACATTTATTGTAAACCAGCATTTCCCAAAGAGTATTTCTTAGAAAACTAGCTCTTTAAGGTAACTAATAAGTGTCAGCTGTTTCTCTACTTCTTTTTCTTATTAGTACTGGATGGCAGTCAGGAAGTTTGGGTTCAAATTTTGCTTTGTCTGGCACTGAGTAAACAACAATGTATTGAGGGCCTACCACATGCTAGGTATCATGTTCTGTGCTAAGGATTAGGTAGTGATTAAAGCACACATGATCCCTACCTTCACAGAGTTTAGTCTATTGGAAAAAGAAGGCGTTAAATGAAATTAACCCAACACAAATATAATGTGCTAAGAAGTGAGTCCTAGGAAAGAGAATAACTGGGGGACCTAATTTAGATGAGGGAAAGGATTCTCAGGAGGAGAACCTTCAGTTGAGACCTAAAGGATGAGCAAAGCTTAGCCAGGTGCAAAGAGAAGCTAAAGACCTATCCACAAGGACAGAAAAGATATGCAAAGGCCCTGAGGTAGTAAAAGCCTGGTATGTCTGAGGGGCTGAGAAGCACCAGCATGGAACACCAAGGGCCAAAGGGGATGTAGGTGGAGGATAGATCTCTAGGAGCTTCAGGGTCATAGTCAAGATCTTGCTCTTTATCCCAAAGAAAAAGGCTTTAAGCAAGAGCAACAAATGAGATTTTCATTTCCACACTATTTGGGCTTTATGAAAGAATGGGACTAGAGAGAGGCAACATATAACAAGTAATTACTTCTTAATGACATTGTTGCAAGTTTACATGTTGCTTGGGATTTCACTGTACATCCACTCAGCCATTCTCCTAAGTGGCAACTTTCAATTTTTTCCTTTCTCCTCAACTCTCTGACACCTCCCTCCCCATCCTCACTCTGAGGTAATGTTGCTTCCTATTTCACTGAAAGAATGGAAGAGAATTTCCATTAGACTACTGATACCACATGCTTCCACCTGCCAGCCCCTGTGGCGACACCCTCTACCTTCCACCATGTCCCATCTAAGTCCTAGATCCCATCTCCTCTTGCCCACTCAATGACTCTGTTCTGACAAGTCCTTCCCCTCTCTCCTACAGCATCAATGTTTCTCAAATTCAACATGTCCAAAACTGAACTCCTGATCTTCCACTGTAAGTATCTCTACCTGCAGCCTTTCCCATCTCAGTAGAAAGCAACTCCAATCTTTTCAGTAGCTCAGGTTAAAATCTTTGCAGTCACCCCTGCCTCCTTTCTTCACACCACACACACCATCTGTCAGGCAATCCTATTGCCTCCACCTTTAAACCATATCCAGAATCTGACCACTCCTTACTACTTCCTCCGCTCCCACTTCTCTCAGAGGTCTGAGCCACCATCAGTAGTGTTATAAAACTTGCCTGGATGATGCTTCTTCACTGGTCTCCCTGCCCCAACCCTTGCCCCTTGCAGGCTGTTTCCAAAACATCAGCTAGAGGGATCCTTTTAAAATATAAATCAGATTAGATCTCTCCTCTGCTCAGAAGTCTTTAGTGGTTCCCCTATTTTCACTAAGAATCTAAGTCAAAGTCCTTATGACAGCCAACATGATCTGGCCACCCCATCCATACCTGTTACCTCCCTACCCATATCCCCTACTGCTCCCCCTGATTCTCTCTGCCAAAGCCCCTGGAAGGCACACTCTCACCTGAGGCCCTTTGCAATGGCTTTTCCCTCTGCGAGGAGCTCTCTTCCCCTAGATGCCCACTATCAGAATCTTCCTGCCTCCCACCCTCAAGTCTTTGCTCATCTGTCCCTGTCTCAATAAGCCCACCCTCACCACCCTACTCATTCCTGTACCCAATCCCCTGCCCCACCCAACGTTCTCAATTCCCCTTATGCTGCCCTACTTTCAGCATACTGTTTAATTTACTTAATTATCTCAAGCACCTAGAATAGTGCCTGGCACATAGATGGCCCTCAATAAATATTTGTTGACTTGAATGATTGAATTGAAGCCCAAGAGACTTAACTATCTTCTGCAACTACAAGTTGTATTAAGGAGTGACTGAGGAGAAAAATGAGCAGCTATGACACTATTACAGAGAGTGTAAAATCAGAGCAGACTCTTACCATCCTTTGCATATGCCACACAGTACACAGTATCTTTGTGTCCCTTTAGGGGCTGAAGTAAGGTGCCATCAGAGGTGTCATAAACCTGGCAAAAAAGAGACAGAAGTACAGGGGCGCCTGGGTGGCTCAGCTGGTTGTGTTCGACTCTTGATTTTAGCTCAAGTCATGATCTCAGGATTGTGAGATCAAGCCCCACCTACTACAGACTTAAGATTCTCTCCTTCTCCCTCTGCGCCTCCCCCCATAAAAAAAAAAGAGAGAGAGAGAGAGACAAAAGTACAGATTATCCACATGACATCCATTAGTTAGAATTCCTGCAGGTTGCTATTTTTGTTTATATAACAAAATATTTGTCAATATTCTAAATTTGTATCAAGTAAAAACTACACTGAGAAACCAGAAAGAACGTGAGAGAACTGGACAAACCCAAAAAGTAGAGGTCCTAACTCTGTGAATTACATGTCCAGGAACATGCCATTAATCCTTGAGAAATAGAAGTTCACTCTGTGGAACTTCTCTACAAAGTTCACTCAATGTATGTGAATTTGGATATATAACCAATCAAGCTAGACCCTCCCAAATAAAGCTAGCACACACAAAGAGCCAATTACAACATGATTAAATTTTAGTACTAGCCCTGCCCCTAAAGGATGTTTCATATCTGCTATCAAGAGTTTGAAAGTCAAAGACCTGAACTCTGGGTTTGCAAATCAAAGGAAATATCATAAAAACTAGCTGTAATTTGGATTTAGGATATTTTGTAGCACTGTAACATATATAAATATGTGGAAATTTAAAAAACACACTATCTGAGTAATCAAGGCAAAACTCTCCAGAAATGGTTAGTGTTGGAGAAGATAATCTTTGAGAAAAAAGTAAAAGGATCTGGATTGTTTACCCTGCGAGAAGTCTGCAGAACAATTTAACCAGGGTTTTAAGATTATGTAATTACCATACAGAGAATGGAGATTAGTCAGTCTGCATATCTCGAGACAACAGAGCAAGGGGAAGTGGACTTACGTAGGAGGAAGGAGAGATCATACAAAGGTTTTTAGGTCAAACATAAAGAGTTCTCTGAAAATTACTTTTATATATTGGGATAGGTTCCAGAGGGAGCTTATATTCTTTGAAAATATGAAAAAAGGACAGCATCCATATGGAATTATTTAGGTAGGCCAATGCCTAAAAGTTGGGGTCAGGCTATCTGGCTTCTCAGGGAGGGGGCCCCTTCAGTCTTGTTGCTTGAATTTTTCAGGAGGACAAAATGTGAACTGACACCAGTCCATTTTCAAAGGCATTTTGATTAATTGTTTTCAACTCTTTCATGGGTGTCTCAAAGTAAAAAGGGAAAGATTAATGACTCCAAAGGAGGTATTGTTCACAGGTTCCTATCTGATAGACAGTTTACTTACCTGTTTTAAATAGCCCATTTCCTTCCCTATTAAAAAGTAATGACTGGTTTTTCCGCCCTTGCCTTTTTTATCTTAAAAAAGGGGGGGTCAGATTTCAGAGCATTTACAAGAGGGAGAGGGAAAAAAGCACTTAAAAAGGAAACTCAGACACAATCCTACCAGTAATCTGTTTCCTGCAGCCAAAATCAGTTGCGTTCCATCGGGCTTAAATGCGAGGTCATATATACTAAACAGGAGACAAGACAAGACGAAAGGACAATTAGGAATCAAAATGATGAGGTCTGCTAATGGCCAGGAAAGCAAACTTTATTTCCATTATGAAACACTGCTTGTGTATGAGGGAGAAAAATAATGGCTAAGAATTGCATTTGGCTGCAAATTCCATTCAACCACCACACCTTGGCAGCCCATTCAATCACAATTTACTCGGCAGTTAGCTTTACGTCCCAATTTCTACTTGTCCAGAAGCCAGACGCCAGAGATGATACAAAGGGTCAACAGTCAAAGGCACTAACTCTTCTATAAAGGCTAGAGAAACTGAGGGCTACTGAATCCACATGTCTCTGAAAATTGGACATTTATTAAAATATCATTATTATTTCCAACCAATCAGATACTTAATGAATGCCTCTTAGGTGCTAGGCAGTTACAGATACAAAATGAGTAAATCACAGTCCCTCCCTGCCCTCAAGGAAATTACCATCCAGTTGGAAGATGTGACTCAGACACATTCACAAAGAACTACCATATGTCGTCAACTCTGAAGCATACATTTTTTCACATGTTAACATCTCTGAGGTGGGGATGTGTCTTATAACTGATGATGTGTCAGCTTAACTTGAAAGCATTTTTTGCTTTCTTAGTGGTATATAAAATAATGGTATTTTACAATCAGTGACCTCTTAGATTAGATGAAATACAGAACAATACTAAGTAAAGGTTTTAGGCAGAATTCAAAGGAGGAAGACGCAGTGTTCTGATTTGGAGAAAGGATGAGAAAAAGCTTCATGAAGAAAACAGTACGTGAAAAAAGTAGGGCTTTTGAGACATGCAGGAGGAGATCTGAAGGGGGCAGCATTTCAGGCAGAGAAAACAGAACAGGGGCGCCTGGGTGGCTCAGTCGTTAAGCTTCTGCCTTCAGCTCAGGTCATGATCCCAGGGTCCTGGGATTGAGCCCCATATAGGGCTCCACGATCAGCGGGAAGCCTGCTTCTCCCTCTCTCACTCCCCTTACTTGTGTTCCTTCTCTCGCTATGTCTCTCTGTCAAATAAACAAATAATCTTTAAAAAAAGAAAACAGAACAAGCAAAGACATGAAGGTAGGGAATAGCAAATAATCTAAATAATCGAATTTGACTGAAACATTTGACTATGCACAAGGCAGTAGGGAGAGATCAGGCTAGAAAAACAGACTAGAGCAATATTACAATGATTCTTGAATGCCCTAGGCAGAGGATTTCATTAGTTCAGGTGACTCTAGTAAGAATGTGCTAGACAGCACTGCCAGGGCAGCCTACTGTAAAAGTTTAGTATGGGATAAATTTACCTGATACCTGTAGTAATCTAGAATTATAGACCCTGGGGAAGAGTACTTGGAGCGTGTTCCAGAGATATTCTTGCTGAGCTCTTCAAATTATTATTATTATTATTTTATTTCATCTTCACAATTCCGTGAAGTAAGAATTATTACTCAGTTTTGTAGTTGAGCACACCATAGCTCAGAGAGGTCAAGTATCTCACCCAACATCATACAACCAACAAATGGTAGAGCCAGAATTTCAATTCAGGTAAGACTCTAGAGTCTGTGCTATATTGCCTTCCACTCTCTTGAAGTACTGTCAAATATGACAAATCTGTTATCCTTAGTACTTGAACAGTAACAATGGCTAACATTTATTAAGCACATCTATTTACTGTGTGTGCTAAGTACAATTTAAATGCTTTACATGTATTGGCTAACTTAATCCTCATAACCCTATACCCATTTAGCAGATGAGAAAAATTAAGACCCAGAGAAGTTAAGTAACTTGCCTGAAAATAAACTGCTACTGAGTGGAGGTAGCACCAAAATTCAAACCCAGTCTGGCTCCAAAGCCCAAGCTCTAACCACTGTGATTTGTGGCCCTCATTTTCATTATTATTAGCATATGCCATAGTTGACAAAATAATTAGCAATAGTTTCCACACTTTATCAATATGAAAAAAAGAGGCATTATATGTAGAATTCAGAAAGTTTTTTATATAGGCTCTGTTGACCTCAGAAGCCTCCTTTAACAAAAATAATTCTTAAAATAATAACAATAATAACTCTCTGCATATATTCAACAGCTGGCTGATGGAGAAGCTGGACAAGGGTGGGCATCCCTCTTGATGGAAGCAAACACAGACACTGAGTTCTTCAGCTTCCTCCCTATTACATGGTAACAGATCTGGGCCTTATCGTTTCCTGCACTTTCTTTCTCTGAGCCTAGGGGAAAGTATACTTGGTGTGTACCACAACACGAGAAGCAGGGCAGTAAAGTGAAAATTAGAGGGACCTGGGTCCTGAAGAACTGATGTCCTGTTCGAGCACTTGTCCTCACCTACAAAGCAAGATTAGAGAGCTGCCCTCCCACCTCTGGGTGCATAGGCCACCTTGTGCAAGCACCTGACACCTGTGGGTTGCTATGATGAGGTACCAGATTTTGGAGAGAATCTGTACGTCTTTTTTGTAGTCATCCTTGGTCATGTGGCTTCCTTTCTGCATTGTAGATAATCTAATCTCATTAAAGTGGTTCTTGTGGGGATCTTCTTCATAAGGATCATTTTGGGTTGAATTCTCAGAAAACCATTTGAGTGTCTGATTTGGGCCAAGCCTTAAACTGTCTTACTCTCAGCTGTGAAAATTTTCTTTAAATGTCTTGAAATTTGCCTTCCTAAAACATAATGTTCAATTTACCCCAATCTAAACTCTTAGTGCACTTAGGATCTGTATAATTCATTGTAGCTCTGAATTATATTACCTTCTATATTTCACTCTGTTTCAAATACTATCTTAATTATAGTCACGTATGCATTAAGGGCAAGGACCCTATTTTAGACATTTGTGGGCCCACCATGCATGGCATTGTCCTAGACACAAAATGAATATAATCGACAAAACTATTTTATCTTGAACCCCTCAGACTTTAATTACATCATGAGACTGTGAGAGGGAATAAAGGAAACCTCATTTAAAATGGAGTCCAGGGCGCCTGGGTGGCTCAGATGGTTAAGTGTCTGCCTTCGGCTCAGGTCATGATCCCAGGGTCCTGGGATCGAGTCCTGCATCGGGCTCTCTGCTCCTTGGGAGCCTGCTTCTCCCTCTGCCTCTCTCTCTCTTTGTCTCTCATGAATAAAAAAAAAAAAAAAAAAAAAAAGTTTATTAAAATGGAGTCCAGATGCCAGAAGGGGGAGCTCTCATGGTGTACTACTTGTTGGCAGCCCCCTGAAGAACCAACAGGAAGAAGCCTATACCTTACCCTAGATAAAGGAAGATTCTTCTCCTTGCCCAGCAACAGCCCAGCCAATGAGAGACTGTCACAACTCAACCAACGAAAAGCCACTACACTCTGAACTCCCAGTTTACTCCAATGAACTTTTTGTTTATAATGACCCCTCCCAACTTCCTTACCCCTTTCCTCTACAAAAGAGTGTTCCTCTCCTTTGTTTCTGGAACTTGCCTGTGTTTCACCGTAGCTTTCTTCTCCTGAATTGTAATTCCTCTCCTATTCCTGAATAAACCCACTTTGCTGGTAAAGTAACTGGCTGTTTTATTTTCAAGATTGACAAGATCACAGAAACTCAGAATTGGGAGACCCTAAAATTTGTCAGGTAGTCCAGTTCCCCCACACAGCAAGAATTCCCTGTAGATGGCCATCCAACCTCTAAACACTCCCAGGATTGGAGAGCTCACCAGTCTGCAGGCAGTTTATTGTACTAGAGGATGGCTTTCTCTCCCCATCATCTTATCTCCCCCTTTTAAGAGAAAGATACACTGTCAAATTCCACTGCAGAAAGACAGAGGGCAAATCCTGCAAATTCTCCTCTGCCAAACTTGTGCCCACCCCACTGTAAATTGAATTCCCAAGGTGCCTCTCCAAATTCTGCAAAATCTGGCCCAGCCCCAGTTACTTGCTTTGAATCTTAGGCAAATTATGTCACCTTGCTACTTCTCAGTTTCTTCATCTGTAAATGGGGTAACAATTCCAACCTCACAGGTTGTTGTGGAGATTAAATAAAATAATGCACGTACACACTGTCTGGCCTATAGCAAGTATTCAGTAAATACTAGCTGGTGTAATTGGAGGGTAATAGCAGATGCTGTCCTGACTGGAATAAGGCAGGCTAGCCAAATAAGGCATCATGGTTGAGATAAACCTAGAACAGTACTTTTAAAGAAGAAAGGAGGGAGTTCAGGGACACCTGGGTGGCTCAGTCATGATCCCAGAGTCTTGGAATCAAGTCCTGCATCAGGCTCCTTGCTCAGCGGTGAGCCTGCTTCTCCCTTGGCCTGCTGCTCCCCCTGCTTGTGCTCTCTCTCTCTGACAAATAAATAAATAAAATCTTTTTAAAAAATAAAGAAAAGAAAGGAGGGAGTTCGAAGAAGAATAAGAGAGCATTTAGAAAGGAGTTTTGGATAGGAAAATGGAGTTTTCAGCTGAAGTGGAAAGCATAAATTTAAATGTTAGCAAGCAGAGGGTGAGGGGGTAGGATAAGCAGGACCACCTAGTTAAGTGCACAATCTGATGTGGAAGGGAACTGGAAGTCAATCTAGGGTTATGGGAAGTAGAATAATGGATCACAGCAGCAGGACTCAAAAAAGAGAAATCCTGCTACCATGTGAAGTTTAGACTGGAAGTCAAAAAGCAGACCAGGAGACAGTGGCTGGTTCAGTTGTGGAGGACTAATCTTAGACATCTGAGATCTCTTAGTTCCACTATCTATTTTCTTAATAGTTTTTGTTTTATCTTATCCTGGGCTTCCAGCTGGCATATGTAGCTGCCATCAGGATCGCTGGTCTGTAGAATCCCTATAGTCCCTAATCTAGTAAGTTGTTTCAAACCTATAATGGGCCCAAACCCAAATAATCAATCTAAACTCATCATTCATTCACTCACTTATTCATTTATTCACTAATACATCTATCCATCAAATAATCACACCAACCACTGATTTGTCTAGGTTCTGGAATATGCCTTAGAAATGAAGAAGAAGTAGCCATTGCTTTTAAGGGGTTTATAGTCTTCTGGGATAAACAGATGCGCAAATAACTCTTTAAACTAGACAGATTCTAAGTACCACAAGAGAGGAATGAACAAAATTCTATGCCAGGGGTTGAAAACTGGGAGCAAATCAGGCAGTATCTGGCCAGCAAATGTTTTGTTTGGCCCACATGGTGTTTTATTTCAGTTTTAGATTAGTTGCCAACACTTAAAAATTAGGGCATTTCACATAAAAACCCAAACTCATAGCTTCTGGTAAAAACAGGAAGATCTGAGCACACTAGGCCAAATTCCTGTAGGGTGGTAATTGGCAGGAGCTGAGCAACAGCTGCCCTTTTTAGGCAGAGCATGAGCTCTCTCGTTTGCCACACTCCTTGCCACTCCCTTTTACTCTCTGACATGAAAGTCAAAGGTGCTAGTTATCAGCAGCTTGTGGTGGGTACTTTCATAATAGAGTTAAGAAAAAAGTAAAAAGAATTCTTATTTATTTTTTAATTATTATTTTTAAGGAGACTCCATGCTGAGCATGGGGCCTGAATGTGGGGCTTGAACTCAGGACCCTGAGACTGAGAACTGAGCTGAAATCAAAAGTTGGGCATTTAACCAACTGAGCCACCCAGGTGCCCAAAAAGAATTTTTTTTAAACTCAAATTTCTATTAAAAGTAGAAGTGACAGATAAACTGGTAGGGCTATATGTTTCAAGAAAAGTGGGGTGCAAAATAGCATACTACTCCTAGGAAAGACAATTCCTTGAGTTTAAGATGCAAATAAACATCTCCCATTATATTGCCTGCCTGACTCCTGCAGGCATTTGGGTTTGCAACCTCTGTAACATGAGGAAAAATTAATGTAGTAGCTAACAGTATTGGCTTTGGAGTGAGGAAAAAAGCTGGCTCCACCACTTACTTGCTGTGTGACCTTGGCGAATTAATTACCCTCTTTGTGTTTCAGTTTCCTTTTAAGTAAATGAGAGGTAATTACAGTAACTAGCTCAGAGGGCTACTGTGAAATGACAATGAGATAAAAGACATGAAGTTCTTAGCCAGGGCCTGGTGTGTAGAAAGCATTAGCTATTACTAGTGCAGACTACAGAAGAGAGAGAAACCATATCCGAAGGGAACATTACAGAATGTTTATAATTTCAATGTAAGGAGATGAGGAAAGAAGGCATGCTTTCTGACACAGACAAGAGAGGGAATGTTAAAGGTCCTATTCCACTGGCCAAAACAGAGTCTGCACCAGGAAGCTGAAAAGATCAGCCTGGAAGATTTTTAAGGTCAGGCTGGGGGAACTATCCAATAAGTCAGTATTTCCCCAAATGTTTCATTGTATGATGGATTTAGCTGATAAAAATGGAATACGACATTAACATCGACTCGTAAGGCGAGAAAATCATTCTCTTTTGATTCTCTTTCAAACCTTCTAATTAAGGATAGGAGAAAAGTCTTGCTCTGATGCTATTCACCTCAAACACCTCTTGGACCACACTTTCTAAATATCCAGTTCTTCAGGACAGTAGACAAGAGGCTTAAAAGCTTCCTAGCAACAGTATCTAACTACAACTTAATAACACCGTTTTGTTTCTCCCAACTTTGAGTTTCGCATTTATCCCACAGCAAGTGATACTGACGTTCAAACATGGAGCAATAAAGTTTCCTTGTAAAATCATAAAGTGTAAAATCATATTTGAGTGAAAATCAGTGAGACAATTCAGAGAAAAACGCCAAGTTTATGTGCATGTGGCAAAAATTGTGACGTTTCTGACAAACACTGTCGTGGGTAGTAAGATGAAGCCAGGACGGATTCTGTGTAAAATCGCCCCGACAGGCCACCACCTCATCCGTGGTAAACCCCCTAGCTCCCTCTCCAGGCCTCAGTTTCTCCATCCGCAAAAGGGTGGGAGGGCGACCCTCCAGTTGCTCAGACCTAGGGTTCAGGTCCTCAGCCCGGGCCATAGGCCCGTTGCCCCTGGCAACCACGGGGGTTTCCGCCAAGGTTCCCGCCATCCCCGCCAGCGCTCGGCCTCCCGCTCCTCCCGGACTGCCCGGCTCCTCACCACTGCTCGGCTTTATCTCTCCACGTCAACACGGCCCTCATCGCGGCTTCCCTGACGCCTCAGGCCCCTCCTCCCGCCTCAGCAACAGGCCCCACTCCGCCAGCCACTTTGGTTACCTGCGCTACCCCTGGCAACACACATGCGCAGTGAGCCTCGTGCGCGCAGCCAAATTCCGAGTGCGCAGGCCTAAAAGGCAGGGCTAGGAAAGGAGCAAAAGCGAAGATGGAACGGAGCCTAGGAGTCTGCGCAACTAAGGCGCGCGCGACTGGTCGGAATGGGCGGAGGGCGATACGTCTTCCTCGGCGAAGGATTTGATTGGCTGAGCCGTGAAAATGGCGGCTGTGGACAACTGGGTGGCCGGAAAGCTGCTGTGGAGTCTGACAAGCTTTCACCGCTTTAGGCTCTTGATTTCAGCCTAGCGTTCTGAGCTGAAGAAGTTTTCGCATCTGATTCTGCTCCGCTCCTCGGGCGTCGCACCCTCTCGGCCATTGCTGCTGTCGAAGCCCCCCCTGAAGGGCATGGCTGGGATGGAGAGTCCGAGCCTGGGGGACTGCGGAGCTGCCCCCTCGGTCACCTCCAGTGAGCGCTCAGCGTCAGACCGGCCTTGTGACCTCCGGCAAGTTATAGTCCCCTTTCGGGACTCATTTTCACCATCTGTAAAATGGGAGCGGGCTGGGGTGCGTAGAAGGTGGATGGGCCTTTCTAACCTAGGATCGACAGATCTCGAGACCCACAGGGTTAGTTACTTGGAGCAGTGGCTGTAGCTCGGGAACTCTTCCAGTGGGTTCAGTCAGCCCTGGGGTGCATCCTGCTTCGTTAGCCGGAATGACGAAGGAGCTGGAAGAAGCAGAGAGGTTTTATGCAAGGGGTGCAAGGAGAGGTCAGCTTGGGCTGGAGGATCCTAGGAAGACCTTGGAGGAGATGTCATGTTAAGCAGCCAAGGGTGCCCCCAAAATGGGTCCTATAAGAAGTTACAGAGGCGGGGTGCCTGGGTGGCTCAGTCGGTTAAGTGGCTGCCTTCGGCTCAGGTCGTGATTCCAAGGTCCTGGAATCGAACCCCGCATCCGACTCCCTGCTTAGCGGGAAGCCTGCTTCTCCCTCTCACACTCCCCCTACTTTTGTTCCCTCTTTCGGTGTATCTCTCTCTCTGTCAAATAAATAAAATCTTAAAAAAGAAAAAAAAAAGGTTACAGAGGCAGCCACAGGCATGTATCCTGTGGCCAGGGCCTGGTGCGTAGTAAGCATCACTTATTTGGGGAGAAGGAGGGTGTCTCACTGACTCTTCTAAGCAGTTCTGTTGATCCCAGGTTAAGAGCTCATCTATTGGTTCATATTTTTAAATTTATGCCAAGTGTCACCAGAAATTTTTATAATAGCCCTGTTCAGTAATTAACAACAACAAAAAGTTTCTAGGGAATAGCTTGAGCTTTTCATTGTGCAGAGACTTCCAACTCTTTGTAACCCATGTTGGAGGACAGGAAGATATTCACATAGCATGAGACTGGTCCATACTGATTTTAATCTCTCCTGTAGTCTGAATTTTAGTCCATATGGTTCCTGCTCTGTCATGGATTGAAATTGAATAAGCAGAGGAAAATAAATTTTAAATGAGCTGATCACTTGTACTTTGTTTTTTTCAGCGAGGAAGATGGTGCTCTGGGATCGGAAAGAGTGGGAGAAGATGAGAAGCAAGTGGTAATAAAAAGTAGCAGTGAGTGTAATACCCTACTGCAAGAATCCATTGCTTCTGCTCAGACTGGTGATACTACAATGACAGAATGCCATAAGTCTGTCCCATGCGGATGGGAAAGAGTTGTGAAGCAAAGGTTATCAGGGAAAACAGCAGGAAGATATGATGTATATTTTATCAGGTGAGCATGCAAGACGGTACAGATAGTACAGACAAATAATTTTATCTAGACAGGTATTGGGAAAGCATCACAGAAATCTTGGCTTTTTTCTGTTCTTACCAGAAATCGTTATAGATTTTATTCCTTGAGTGTCACTGGTTAGTTATATCAAGTGATTTGGGGATAAGTACATATATCTTCCGCAAACTGTTGCCCTTAAATTTGTAAATAATTGTAAAATTATTTTATACTATCATAGAGGAAACTATTTAAAAGTACCACTTTATTACTTTTTTTTGTAATTTTTTTTTTTTTTTTTGATTCAGGTTGCTTTATTTTATTGTTTAATGTGGACCAGGCATACTATTCTCACTGAGTCACACAGATTGTTCTATTTTATTGGCATCCATTCTTATTTTTATTTATTTTTTATTTTTTATTTTTTTTTATTCTTATGTTAATCCCCATACATTACATCATTAGTTTTAGATGAAGTGTTCCATGATTCATTGTTTGTGCATAACACCCAGTGCTCCATGCAGAATGTGCCCTCAATACCCACCACCAGGCTAACTTTTTTTTGTAATTTTAAATGACAAATACCCATGGCAACATTTGGAAATTATTAATTAAAAATCTGAAATATGGTCCAATTCTTTTTAAGGTCACTTTTATTTACTAGCAATAAGTTTTCTTTAATATCATTTTCTAGCCCACAAGGACTGAAGTTCAGATCCAAAAGTTCACTTGCTAAATACCTTCACAAAAATGAAGAGACTTCTCTTACGCCAGAAGATTTTGATTTTACTGTACTTTCTAAAAGGGGCATCAAGTCCAGATATAAAAACTGCAGCATCGCTCCTCTGACATCCCAAATGCAAAATGAAAGTAATAGTTCAAACCGGAACCTCAGGACACGAAGCTGGTGGAAAAAAGATGTCTTTCCTCTACCAAGTGGTAGTTTGGAATTGCAAAATAGCAGAGGACTGTCTAACTTTAAAGAAGATGAGGGTGTTAATGATGTTGACTCCAGAAAGGTTAGAAAGCCCAAAGGAAAGGTGACTATTTTGAAAGGAATTCAAATTAAGAAAACTAAAACACGGTGCCGGAAGGGTTTTCCAGATTCTGCTCAAAGTAATAAGAAAAGAAAATCTGAGTATAAAAAGGCAGATGCTGAAAGTGAACCTGTTGTGCAAGAAAGTCAGCTTGATAAAACACTCTCCATTTCTGATGCTGGAGCAAGCAACAAGACCCTCAGTGTAACCAGTGAAGAAAAGAGGCTTGTAAAAGAACAATCATTGAGTTCAGGATCAAATTTTTGTTGTCAACAAATAACTTCTGGCATCATAAACAAATTAAGTTCAACTGAAGAAGCAGAACACAACAAGAATTGTGAGGAAACCTTTTTAGAATCTGAGGAAATAAAAGTAGAAGTTGGGGAAAGGAAGGAACATTTGCATACCGACGTTTTAAAATGTGGCTCTGAAATGGACAACAACTGCTCACAAACCGAGAAAGACTCTATTTCTGTGAAAATATGTCAAGGTATTCAGAGCACTAAAGCTGCTAATGAACACGTGATGAATTTATACTTCCATATACTGTATTTCATCCCTGTACCCAGTTAGGATGTGGGAATAGAACAAAGAAATAGGACTAAATACCAGATACATTGTACCAGTTGATCCTATTACCTTATTTAACTGATCTTCAAACCCCTTCCTATAGCATAGGTGGAATTGGCTGGCTACCGCCTTGCTAACCCCAGCTCAGGAGATTGTGCCATTTACAGCTGCTATCATCTCTCCCTGGTGCAATAGCTGGGACTCTCCTCAACAGTGCTTTCCCTTCCCATCTTCTTTCCAGCCAGTAATATTACAGCTTTAGGGAAAATGAAACGCTTCACTTGTGAAAAGGTTTGGGGAAGACTCCTTTTAATGCCTAAACGGGTTGAGAATAGTCTGTGTCTACCCTTTTGCACCCCTCCTCTTATTTATTCCTGATGTGTGACTTCCAATTTCAGTTTGTACTTATCATAGTCATTTTTATCTTCTATTATAATGTAATGCTTTTCTAAATGCTTTAGAGCTCTAAATAATTCAAAACTGTATTCACATAGTTCATCTATTATTTGTAATATGCTCTTAATACAGAGTTCAGAGCTTAGCAGTATTGCCTTTATAATACCTCAGTGAATAAAAAATAAAAAGAAGACCTTTTGAGCAGCCCTGTATTAGTTATTCATTATGCCATTATGGTATAATGAATAACTCCTTCAAAGAAGAAGAAGAATTTTACTTAAAGTCCTGTCAGGAGACAGCCTGGACAAATTGGTGGAGCAGGGGGTTAGACTTGATTTCTGTTCTCAGTTCCACTCATGATTTTATGTCTTTGCTGTGCCTGGAATTCCTTTACCTTTAATAGAAAATGACCATATATACCTAGGAACTGCTTAAGAATTCAAGTCTCTCCTTTAAAGACTTTAAGCTTCTTAGAGCTTTGAGGTTTATGTAGCTTTATTGCTAGTATAATGGACAAATAAAATACTAAAAACATCCTTTTGTGACCAAAACAGAAATATCCTATTCATCCTATACATAAAGAAGTCTAGTTCTCAGCACAAGATGAAGTACCCTGAGTTTAAGAAGTGTCTAATGGAATTGTAAAGACTTTCCCGTTGGCTTAGTTGGAAATTGAAAAGTAAACTGAGCTTCAGTCTCCTACTAATAAAGGACGCTAGTTAATAATTATTTATAGGAACCCACAGAAGAAATTATCATGTAACACTTAGTAAGAGTACTTTCTTTTGACCTCTTTTTTTACTTTCTACTAGGCTTTGCCTATTCGAACTAGAATAGCAAAAAACAGTAGCTAATTATCTGGAGAGCTGGATACCTGTCCCAATCTATAATTAGTCCCACTTTCATTTGGGGATTGTTGTTTAATTTCTAAGCCTTAGTTTGTTTATCTGTAAAATGGAGGTAATAATCCTCACCAGTCCAGTTTTTCACATCAAGAATATTGCAAAGTAAAATGAGAAGTGAAAAAGATGGCTTCACGCTATATAACTGCCAAGGTATTATTAACTGACATTCAAATTTAGAGGGTAAGGCTATGGAGAGTATTAAATGTGATGATTTTAGAAACTTGGGAAGCCTGATAATGCTGGTCAGGTAGTCTGTTATGTTAACTGAGCTTCCCAGTAGATAGTGGTCTCAGTAGTCCAAGGTTCAAATCTTAGGTTTTTCAGTAGGTTTTGTTTTGTCTGTGTCCTTTTTTGTTTTTTAAGTGTAAAAATATTCACTGCAGAAATTTTGGAAAATATAAAAAATTAAAGGAGAAAAAAATTAGCAAAAACCATTATACCATTTTGGTTTATTTCATTCTAA